TAGGCTAAAGTGCTTCTTCTATTCTATATGAATAGATGCAGCATATGCTCTTATTAGTTCGTATTTTTATTCTTTAATAATGATGTTATTTTTCACATTGAAAAGCAAGTCATTATGCTAAGTAGAGTTTAATCAAAGCGTTTAATGTAATTACCATCGTGTATTTGATGATTAGAAAGGGTGTAAATGAAACTCTTCCTCACTAATGTGAAAAACTACATCACTATTACACTCAGTGACTCCTGATATATCCGCTCCTTTGGTTATTTACAGAACTACGTCATATCAGGATATGCTCTGAAAACCAGGAAATGAGAAAAGATGGGAATTTGTTTACATGACCCATTCATTACTTAAAAACCATACGTAGAGAAAGTAAAAGTTGTACAATTGTGTTAACGCAAGTAAAGGGAATCTGTAACTCGGAATTCTCCCCAAGGCTGAAATCTTCTGAATTAGGTTCATGTTTAATGAAGACAGAGTAATCTCTCTTTTTTCGCAGTTTACATTCCGTGTTTCAGGAGGCAAATAAAAACGGGTTTTAACACAGTTTTATTTAACCCCGTTTTATCTGTCAGTTAGTTGGGATCAAAGCTTGAAACTAATTTTTGATCTTCTTCCATAAGCAGGCATTTTTCAAACTTTTCACATATACGTATTTGCGATGAAAAAGCAATATCTCACAGGAGTTTTTAAAAAATTCGATGCATATTTTTTAATATAATGTTAAATTTTTTTAACAAATGTTTTTCATTATCAAATCAATATGGCACAATTATGCTCCTTAACCAACGAAAAGGCCATAAAGTATGCGGAACTTCTAACCTAACTTTACCAAATTTTGGCGGTTTTTCAAAAATTGGTATGTTTTTCACTTACTCGTGCAATTTTTAACAATCGATGGTTTTAAAATTTAAAGCTGAAATCTCAATTGTATTTACGTAGCCATTTATCTCAATTAGTAACAGGTGCTTTATTTTGATAACAAGGTCGGATTTTTAAATAATACAGAAATTTAAATGAATGCGGTATTAAATAAAGCAGGTTGGAGAGAAACATTTTCATATGTTATAAAGCAGTAATTTTTTTTGCTATTATTATTATTATTCTGCAGAAATGTTATTGCCATGTATTATTTTTAAAGAAATAATACAGCGAATTAAAAAAAATGCAACTTTTAACACTTTAACGGGAATTTAAAAAAAATATTTTATATTTAAAAAAAAAAATCTGAAGGGTTTCAAATTTTAAATTACGTCTAAAGGGGCGTTTTTTTAGATATTTAGTTATAATATGTACCTTTATTTATTAAATATCATGTTCTTCGCACAAAAAACATAAAATTCAGTTCAACAGCAATATACCAAAATAATTTTAAAATGAGCATATCTTTAGGATTTCTGATACACAGTCTCGCGCGCTGGAGACAAAAATGTTTCTTCTGTACATCATTGCCATTGTTTGCTTTGAAACTCTTGAGTTTGTTAATGAACAATTCGTTAAAGTTTTACAAAATATGAAATTGATAGTAAAACAAATTCCAAATTTATGCTTCCAGATGCCCATATTCGCAGGAGGATTACGTATTCAAAATTTGATGGCTCTACGTATCGCTGTTTTATCACAGTGTGAGAAACATACATACATTTATGCAGATCATTTATTATTTAATTTCTTTAAATATAATACAGGACGATAATATTTGGTGGTAACAATTTGAAAAGTGAAACAACGCTTGTAGTGAATGGACGCAAAATGCCAAAACGAAGTTAATAGTTTTTCTGGGCAAATTGCTCCTTTGGACTAAAAATGTTTTTAACTCCATGTGCCAGTTTGTTGCCATTTGACGAAGCATAAGATATTTAACTTGTCTTTTAACCTGCCTGTTATTAATTAACAAACTGAGCGATTTAAAAGCATCAGATGCGATTCTTTATTTATTTTGTTAATTACCAGCTGGACCTGTTAAATTTATATAGTAATTATTTCAGATGACCAGCTGCGCAGAAACAAAAATGATTCGATGCAAAAGTGAGATTCCAAAATAACAACCCTTCTGGAGAAAAAAAGGTACGGCAACTCTCAGACTTTTAACTCTCTCTATGGGGAATTCTAAAAATTTGCTGTTTTTAAATATTCTGTGATTTTCCTGTTGAATTTTATCTGGCGTTAAGTGCGAAGAAAGTGATGCTTTAATAATAAAGTTAAATAGGAGGGGAAGTGTCAGCAGGGAAAAAAAAAAAAAAAAAAACTCGCGATGTTAAAATTTGAAACCTTCTACAATTTTCTTCTGTTTTTCCTCATCCTTTTTTTTTTTTTTTTTTAACTAAGAGATTTTAATCAAATGAATTAAAAACATAAAAGGTTTTTTTTTTAGCTATCATATTTTTGATCAAATGCGACTAAAAATAAAATCGCGGACCTCCTATAAACGAACTGATTTAGGACATTAATAAAATTTTAAGGAACAGCAGAAGCGATATTTATAAAAATGAATATAGTCAAACCTCTTTTCATTTATTTTTGAAAATTTTTATTGAAAGCCCACCAATGTTAACAGACCCACGATTTTATTTTTAAACACATCCGTTCAAACATAGTATGACAGCTTAAAACAAAATCTTTTTTGTGCATGATTAAAAATAATGTAATTTAAAAAGATTTTTTTATAAGTTTTATTCACGGCATTACAACTTTCTCTCAGCAATTACTTATCGAACATAATTGAAGTTAAAGTGCTGGTGTTCGAAAAATTAATAGAACGAAACACAATCGATAATCTGAAACATTTCTAAGAAGAGTTTCTTTGACCTTTTCTCGAATCTTCAAACGGCGCTTAATTCACCGTATCGTTTTCAGCGATTAATCATAACAAAATATACAACTCGTTTGCTATTGAGCGTTTCCTCGATCGCTCGCCTTTTCGATCTTTTATCTGATACTATTTACGATACATCTATTTCATTTCAATTATTTGCCGCCTTTCAATCTTTCGCCAAGCACAACTTAATCCTTCGAACGTATCTCTCTCTCCATTTTTTTTATTAGATAAGACAAAACGAACAGTTATTTAGAAAAATCGTCAGGTTAAAAAAAAAAAAAAAAAAAAAAAAAAAAAAAAAAATATATATATATATATATATATATATACATAAATAAATAAAATCTCTCTGGATATCCCAAGTTACGAAAGAAGACACGAAATAAACTTCAGCTATTCTGAAACCACACAAGTTTACAATGATTAATTTGTTGTTGCTCTTCTTGTTCCCAGTGGTGGGACACTTGCAACTTAGTGCATTCGTTTGGTATTAATTACTTCCTTGCACGAAGTAAAGGAAGTTTTGTAATAGAGAAAATTTTTCGGTTTCAGATTTTAACGAAAATATCCATTTTGAATACTCTCGAATCCATTTAAAACCAATTTTTTTGAGTGACATCTGTACGCACAGACAGAATAAAAGACTATTTTTCCCAAAAAGGGGTTATAAAATGGATTTGCAATGGATTCAGTAGACGCACATATGTCTCACATAACTAAAAAAAATCTGATGAGTACACCACATGACTTATATCCTTGTATGGAATATTAAATTATATGCATTTTCCGGCATTTCATTTAAATTTATTTCCTCGAATTTCATTAGATATATTTCTCATTCAATTAATTCAGTTCTCACTTTGCAACAAGGCAAAAACCTCAAACTACCTTTATTAAAAACTGAAAGATACAGAAAAACATAAAACACCAAATACAGCTAAAATAATTTAAAAAAAAATTTTTTTTACAATTAAAATTACAGTTTCTACGCAAAAAAAAAAAAAAAAAAAAAAAAAAAAAAAAAAAAAAAAGCAATTCTGCCAGCGGGCAAGAAGGCAGATTTTTCCGTGCACAAAACTGAAAGTTCAATTTTGGTCTCACTCGGCAAAAAGACACTCAAGACGTAGAAACTGATTTAATTTGTTGTGGATGCTATTCTGAGTCTATGTATGGGATAGTTTAATAACTTAAATGATAATTCCAGAATGGATTAAGCATAATTTAATTTGCAATAATTAAAGTAGATGTTTACTTTGTTGTTGCGAAGTTTAGTTTCTCTAGATTGGCAACAAATCGACTTATCTGCTAACTTTAAAATGTAAACAAATATGGCTGCTGTGGTAAAAAAAATTAGGCTTAGCCGCACTTAAACAACTTTTAAATTGTTGATATTTTACAACTATAACACGTAGGTTAACTAGAGGCACAAAAACCTTAATCGGAAGATAAAAACAACACAATTCAATCATTTCTAAGGCAAAAAATGCACAATTTACAAACATATAAGAAGAAAGAAACTGAGCTAACTGAGTCGAGTAACAAAGTGGATATATATATATATATATATGTTTACTGTGAAAGACCGAGATTTGGAGAATTCACCGGCGAATGTCAACATTCACATAGTCGCTTGGTGCATGTCCAAAATATTTGCCAAATATCCTTATTTCTGACTTACACTGGCAAATGTCGACATTCACCATGCACTCATGGTGAATGTTGAATACATCACAGATTTGCATTTCGTTCTCTGTATTTCAGGCGCCATAAAACTTCAATGGTAACGTAACGTTTTCGCCTGTCTTGCTGAGAGGAGTCCCTGGTGAGAAGAGTTGTTCGTAACTCTATAGAGGCATTTTCACTGCATGACATGTAGCTTTTGATTCTAACGCGAGAAAGGTTACTTGATATTACTTGACTTCTTAATAATGACAGCAGTCGTGCTTGGATAAATATTAAGCATTTAGTTTTAAATTTAGTCAATAAAGAACTTTGTTTCTTACTTTTGCATTTATACCGTATATGTCAAAATATGAAAAAGCTTAAGTAACAGCACATGTAAATAAACTTTTAAACTTAAACAATACATTCTAAATGAAAAAAGAAAATAATAAATAATAATAATAATAATAATAAAAAAAAAAAAAAAAAAAAAAAAAAAAAAAACAATTATGTGATTGAAATCTTATTTATTGCAACAACATAAAATTTTATGACATTTTGAATTGCACAACAGTCCCTTGCTTTTAAAACTGCATTTAGTTGTGGAACACTTCCTTTTGCAGTGACAGAGTGTATAGCCTTGCCCTCTACTTCTCGAATTAGCTGCAGCTGCTTCTCTCAGCGACATTACTTGAGAAGGAATTTCATCTACAGAAAGTAACTTTTCTTTACAAATTACAAAGTAATTATGCATATAAAGCTGCTTGAAGGTGACATTTTTATTTGCTAGTTTATAAAAGCCGGAGTCTTATTTCAACAACAACTGCCAACACATTTCGGCCATCTGTACGACCACAGTCGACATCAACGACTTGTATTCGTATGGTATCACCAATTTGAGCAGAAGAAAAACTTTTTTGAGGTTTGTAACATTTTCGTTACTTGCAGTAAAAGATTCTCTTTTGCGGCCGATCTTTTAATAGAAATTAACTTGTGTTGTTCAGTCCAGGCCTGATACGAAGACATGGTACATTGCAGGTCCTCCTCAATATTTTTCTTTGGAATATGGTTTTCGGTATGGCCACTGCTCAAATTTTCTTCAAAAGCATTAACAGCTTCTTCAAGCTGTTCTTCGGTTTCAGGTTTTGCAATTTGTTCGTCAGGCAAAAAAGACGATGCTAAGCCTCTTCTTGGTTTAATGCCAAACATAGCTTCATAGTAATCAATCCCGGTGAGGAGAGATGTATTTGAAAGCTGTGTGAAAAATAAAAACAATTATCTTCTCGTTTACTCGCAATTAATGCATTTAACTTTTCAAGGAAAAATTCATGAATTACTGCAGTATTCATTCAACATATATTAGGGTATTGGATTAAAAAAAAAAAAAAAAAAAATTAAGAAAACATTGCGTGTACCATCAAATCTAGCATAAGACTGATAAACACTGTTCCAGAGTATAACAAATTCATGCTACATAACTTCAATCACAGCAGAGCAAAGGATTTGGCGACAGACAGTCGCCCCTCTGTTAAACTCGACCTCCACCACAGTATATCTGTGATTGTTGACATACACCGGTGACGGTCTGTATGTACAAGAATATAACCAAATATTTGGTCTTTCACTGACGTATCTGGTATATGTTGACATTCTCCAACTTCCGTCTTTCACAGCATATATATACTTTTGGTGCAGCCGATTGCAGCCAAAAAGGGAGGTACACCACATACAAAATTTCAATATTCTGAGGCTATTCATTTTTCAGTTATGCGAGATACATATATACATATGTATGTACGTACAGATGCCACAAACAAAATCTCTTCTGAATCCATTTTAAATCAGTTTTATAATTCCGTTTGGGGTAAAAGAGTCTTTTATTCTGTCCTACGTACAGATGTCACTCAAAAACATCGTTAAATTGCATTCAATAGCAGTCAAAATTGATATTTTCATTGAGATATGGTAACTGGAAATTTTTGTGATTATAATACTTCCTTTACTTCATACATGGAAGTAAAAATGCCTTAGAATGTTGAAATTTTCTATATGGGACTACTATAACATGTAGTTGCGCACCTTCCTTTTGGTTGCAATCAAGCGCAACAACCATATATATATATATAATTACAAAACAATTCTTTTGTAAACAAAATTTAAACATGCTTAGTATTTTCGCACATTCAGCTGCAGATGGTCTTTGTGAAAAATTGGTTCTAAATTTCTTACCTTATATATATATATATATAATATATATATATACTCTTAAATAGTCCAAAATGAATTTTTAAAAAGCCAAGAGGTGCATCTGTACACATGCTGCTAGACTGGAAATAATAAAAATTTAAAAGGAAAGGTCGGAACTAAATTGAAAAGTTATTTTTTCTTCTTTATGAAGGTTTAACCAATTTCTTCTCCAGGTAAAGAATTACCAAATGGAGTACATTTAAATTGAATGAATCTTCAAATACGTAAGCTAAACTGAAAATTGTGCAAAGCAAAACGAAAAAAACCTTGTATTAATCCCCTCTGTTTAACGCTTCAAACAGAACTTGTCAAAGGAAAAGTGTCTTGAAGCCTTAAACCGCCAAGTTTGAAGATTCATTCAATTTAAATGTACTCCAAATATCAGATATCAACAATAGGTCAACTGCGATCGATTGGTCGATCGCCAGCTGTTAGGAAATATTTTTATCTATTAACACACATATAATACCACAACAGTAAAAGTGCAATTTTATCATTAATATGATTATTACTTCACATCATCGATTAGTTAAGGGAGCTAGGAAATGTTAAATATAGTAAATTTGCTCAGCTCCTAACTGATTTTTATGTCAGTTGTTTATGTTAAACCATTAACCGCTGATGTTGCGTTGATGCAACGGTCAAAATAAAAGCGTATATAAATATAACTACCTAAGATATTTTTTACCAGCAGATGATTTTGTGTAGGCAATATTATGAAGATTATTTCTGTAAAAAAATATTTGACTTCAACAATCATTTTGTTTATAATAATTAATCTCATACTTTAAGCAAAATTTTCGACCGGGTATTTTTGCTTAAAATATTTAACAAAAGAATCACCGTCTTTATGAGTGATCTGTTTTTAGTCAAGGTCACCGTTTATCAGAACATTACATCAGTCAGATGTTTATATTTGTGTTGGGAAGGAAGGGAAAATGCGTTGACACAATGTCAGCAGGAAACGGGTAGTCAATCTCTTTTTCACTCATTCCTTTCGATGTCTAGTTCATGTTCTGGTTGTTTAAAAATGCCTAGAACGAGGTATCTTACATTAGAAGAAGCCCTTCAAAGATTTTTTGATGAAGAAACAGATGATGATAATGTTAATAATGACCAGAATGAAACTGATATTGTTGTTGTTCCCCCAGAAATTGCAGAGGCTAGTGACGAAGAAGAAAGGAATGGCAATGTTTTAAATAATGAAAATGATATTATAATAATACTGCTGGGGAAGTGTAAATTCACATAAGAAGTAAGTTTCAACCTTCTAAAAGCAGTTATAGTCATACTAAAAAGTTTAAAAAGCAGAAGACTGAAATCTTGAAGTGGATAAAAAAGGAACTGTTAGTTATGTCTCGGGAAGAACATGAAGAAAGAGATAGAAGAGAAATTATAAAAGACAATACACAAGGTAAAACTAGTGCACAGATTTTTGATTTTCTTTTTGGTTTAGACATTTACTCTCTTCTCGTTGAACAGACAAATATATACGCTCAGGGGAGGGAAAAAAAAAAAAAAAAAAAAAAAAAAAACAGAATTTATTGCATCTAAAGCCTATATGAGAAGATTTATTGGAATATTATTGCTTATAGGATATCATTCTTTACCTCAAGAAAAAATGTATTGGTCTTTTGATAAGAACATTTCTGTTCCTGTTGCACGAGAATTGATATGACGTTTGCAGTACAGGAATATGAAGCAGAATTTGCATTTGACAATACTGATAAATTATATGAGGTGAGACCGCATCTAAACTTACTAAATATCACCACATTTTACTATTGGAAATATGAAGTCTCTTTTAGATTTCAGATGCGAGAATGCATTATTCCTTTTGCAAATTCCTATTGAGAGTGTAGAATTAGCCTGAAATAGATCAGCAACAGGAAGACCTAGTAAATTCAGCATTCAAAAGCCATTGCATGGAGATGGTAGACATTTTATCGCAAAGTCCGTTGATAACAAAAGATTCTGTTGTAAAGAGTACCATAGCCAGACTGTTTATTGATGCAAAGTGTGTAATGTAGCTTTACATCATGATTGTAATCAAGTTTTTCATGCTTGAATCTTCCAAATGAAATAATCTGTATTTGTAAAAAAAATACAATGTATATTTTAATTTTAAATTAATTACAAGTAAAGTGATTTGTAGATTTATAAAACGTTATACAGCTAAAAAGTATTCCTGCGCTCCACTCAAAAGAAACATCACACGAGTACAATCCTACTTACTAAACATCCGTAGTCTTATTCCGCTGACGTTGTACGAACGCAACACTCGCTTTTTCCACAGGTAAGAGCATTTTTTTTATTTTCAATGTAAATTTATGTTATAAATGCTTAATTTAATATTTGTTATTATTTTCATGAGAAAAGAAACATTCCTTGTAGTTTTGGCGGCTAATGGGTTAAAACAAACAATTTTGCCACTCTTGACATATATCATTCAAATTTCAAAATCTACTGAAGTATCAGTGGTGCACTGTATAAACTATACAACTGTAGGGTCTTCCGTGCCAGCCATGCTGTTAACAATACTATTTTTCCATCAAAAGTATTATTTGCTTTTATGCTACTTTATTTTGAAAAGAAATTTATTCATGAAAAATGTTTTATTGAATCACAAAGAAAAATTATTAATATAACATATAAGTTTAAAACAATAACAGGAAAGAGGGCGGGCAATTAATGTAATGTAAAAATTTCATATAAAGGATTTTTCATTTATTTTTTCCTAACTCTTGTTTTCCTATAACTTTAATACAAACGGTATGATGACACTAGTGATTAAAACACATTCAAAACACAAAATACTTCATCAGATATGCTGAATAAATGATGAATTAAAGTGCTGAATAAATGCATTGATCACAAATTAAAGTTTTTTTCAAAATTTTCTTTTTTTTTTTTTAATTTCAAGTGAAAAAAAACATTTATTTATTTATATATCTTTCAGTAATCTTGAAGGTTACTATAGGGATTTCAAACCTGACTCAAAAAGAGGAGCATTCAGTTGATGATGTATAAAAGAATAAATTTGGATTTAAATTTTGATTTCATCTTCCTTTAATAAGATTTCATGACTGTTAGCAAACAAAAAGCTCTAACTGTATTTTTTCATCAAAATTGCTGGAGTGACTGTAAGAATATTGTAACTGAATATTCATAAAAGGTTATTTTCATTATTTGCTGTAAAAGTTTTTTTAGCTTCCATCTACCCTTTTTCAGGAACCTATATTTCAGGAACATTGTGCTTTACTTAAAAAAAGAAAAATATATATACAGTCAAAAGTCTTTAATCCGGACTCGTCGGGACTTCGGCGATTCCGGATTATCGATTTTTCCGGATTATAGATCATCAGTTTAAATCTGGTAAGATGGCATGCAGAAATTATAAAATTAAAAATATGAAACCGTAATTTATAAAATAATGAGCAATTATGATCTAAGGGGTATCAAAATTTACCAAAAAAGAAGCCTAATATTTATTTGTTTACTTTATTAAACATTTCTTTTAACGTGCGGATGCGTAAAGCATACCTTACGCATAGCCGAAATTAGAAAATTGCAACCAGAAAACTATTTGATTTGTATTCGTGATATTTATAATGACGAGGAATTTGATTTAAATCATATCAAAGACGAAGTACATCGAAATTAAATACTACATTTAGTAAGGAATTATAAGCCGAATAAAATAAAAACATCTGCCCTGAAGATAACGATAGTGTTGACAAATCAACTTCCAGTTCATTGTGCGCCGCGACGTCCCACCCACGCGCAGAGCAGCGTGAAATTGATAAACAGATTTCCGAACGGTTAGATAAACAAAGAATATGCCTTTATCCATTTTTGTAGCAATTCGTTTTTTGTTTGATGGACATCGAAACATACTTTCGTTTTCTAGATCCTTTGGGAGCTCCAGCATCGGAAATTCTATTTGACATAATCGAAAGTTCAAGCTTACTTTAGAAAATTGCTCTTACAGTCTGCAAAAAATAATA